AAGAACAGTTTGTGAATAAATATTAATGGGTAAAATGCTAATGATGCAGATTAAAGATAAAGCAGGTCAATTTATCAAAAATTAATGTCAGGAAATGAAGTCTGAACAAGCGAGACAGAATCAATGAATCAATAAAACTGATCAACGTATCAATCTGCCGCTATCAGTTTGTTAAACAAACGCATCAATGAAGGTAAACAAACACGTTTCTGTCCGTCAGCTGAGCGGCTGTCGGTCAGTCCTGCGTCAGGCCTCGTCACAATACAGGACGCGTTTCTTTATGTGAAGAAATGAAAAACATTTTACAGATTTCAGTTGACATGGCAACAGAAAGCAACAGGAAAATGCACATGGCGTTTAAGTGTTTCCTTTGAAACTGGCTGCACTCGGTGAAAGGCTTGCGTCTGAATGTGTGTGTGTGTCTGGTCCCCTCCTCCTCTGTAGCATCCCCTAATCAGGACATAATGAGAGCTAAACGAGGTTGCATCTCCACACCGAGGCCTGTGTGGATTCTCTGGAAAAAAAAAAAAAAAAACAGAGACGCCCAGAGAGAAAGAAAAAATAATATATTTGCAATGCGCTGAGGCCGTCCTGCCCTTTCTGTCCCGCCACACACTGAAGTCGCCCTTGTGTGTCTCAGCGACGCGCAGAAGAGACCCTCTCTGTCTTCACATCAGCCAGGATCCGTCCCTACCCCCACCCGGCCTCCTGTCATGTCCTGCCCCCATGCAGAAACTTGGCACACCCTGGAAGCAGCTGCAGCGGGGCTTCCAGAGAGCAGAGAGACGCCCCCGGCCCTGCAGCGCTGCGAGCAGCCACCGACCGCTGCGTCTCTGCGTGTGTGTGTGGGTCTGTCTGCACGTGTATGTCACTTTTCCACTGGCCCAGGACAGCCTATTTATAAAAGCCACAAACAGAAGCTGAAGCCGGAGTCGTGTTTTCCTGATGCACGAACATGCAAGTAAATTGGTTGATTTGTGGCCTCTGAGTCATCATTAGGAGCAGCTTGTGTTGGCTGATATTTTGTTTGTTGTTTAAATTTCCCAAGTGGAGCTGAGTCAGGGGGAGGCTTCCCCCCCGATGCCTTATGATATTAGCTGCAAAACATGTGCACTGCTCTCAGTAAACAGCAGAAAACGTTGTATTTTGAGAGGACTGAGCCTTTCTCAGCCCGCCATAATCTGACCCAGCAACGATAACTCCCCTCTGCTGTCGTCAACCAGGCTTTAAAGCTGCAGTAACTTTTGTAATGTAATATTTTATATATATTTGCTTAAACTGTCACAATGGCATGACAGTATGGTGTGAGACAAATCATCTCTGAAAAAAACTCAAGCCTCTCTGCTTTCTCACAGTGCTAATTAGAAACAACCAATCAGAGCCAGGAGGCGGGTCTTAGTGCCATCAATCACCCCTTGCTATGTCTAGTTAGCATAACCACCAATGAATTTCTGTCATTGTAAGTTGTTTTTCCACCATTAGCACATTGAGTACATGAGTGATTGATAGCGCTAAGACCCGCCTCCTTGCTCTGATTGGTTGATTTTGTTTGAAGCATTCGTTCCAATCGTAGGTCAGGGAGGAGTTGGAGTAAATCAATCATTTCACAGATTATCTGTCTCATACTATACTGTCAAGACATTAATAAATATGTACAATATATGTGTTATATGTATATTTTATGTATTTGATGGAATATTTATAAATATTATATTTGTCAAAATACAGATGTGTAGTTTCCTTTATATAAAAGATACCTGCTGCAGATTTCAAAGAAAAACTAACACTGATTTTTAAAACATATGTCTTAAATATCAGTCAGAAATTATTTTAGTAATTAACTTTATTTGCTCTTAATTTAACCTCATTTTGAGGAATTATGTACCTAATTTCTGGCAAGAACTCAAGCTTGTTTCCATTTACCATTTAAATACCATTTTGTTTAGTTTATTGCTTTAATTAATTAATTATACCAAGTATTTAAATTAAGGTAAGTCTGCTTAAGTATTTATTTTATTGATTATGAGCTCAGCTTTAACGCCTCAGTCATGATTTTTATCATCTATTCTCATTAGAGATGAGCCGATGAGTCTTTGCCAAGCTGATTTCTGGCCTCTAATCGGGCCAGTTTTGTTCTAAGGACGACAGATTACAAGATTTTCTATCGTGTAAACATTTTATCTTCCGTTCCAAGAAAAAAAAAGAATATTTGTCATAAAGTATTATCCGTGTTCTAGATGAAGTACCTTCTAAGATGTTTCTGCAACTTTTTCACATGTTTTAGTAATATTTATTAGATCACACAACAAATGTTTTGAGGACGGTGATTTGGTCAGATGAGAGCACAAATGATCTCCACGGCGGTGGCAGCATCATACTTTCTTAGTATGATGCAAGTGTAACTTCAGAGTGGGAGAATCTGCCAGAAGGACAAATTTTAGCCCTATTATAATAATATATTAATCTATATTATAATACTAATCTGGGTTTTCTGGTAATCTGTGAAGATTACCTAACCTCAAAGGTCAGCAAAGGTACAACATTATACATTATTTTTTACTATATTGTGAAAATAATAAAACGTTTTTGGCAACAGGTCCAGAGAACAAACAGCACATAAAAACTGCATTTAATCCTATTTTTGAAAGATTCTGGCATCTATTTCTCCTCTATTGTGATCAGCAGTGGAGAAAATAGTAAAAGTAACCATCCAGACACTACATTTACTTTTTGGTGCAATAATAAACAGTACAAACTCCCTAAGTGAGACCAAAACTGAACTTTTTTTGGCCTATGATCTAGTAAAGCATCTCGATTTAAGGCACATAGTGGTGGCAGCATCATGCTGTGGGGAGGTTTTTCTTCAGCAGGGACAGGGAAGCTGATTATAATTGATGGAAAGATGGACTGAGCTAATTACAAATCAATACTGGAAGAAAATCTGCTCAGAATTTATTAAATGACTTTGATCAATAGATATCATGAGTAAAATGGTCCAGTCAAAGTCTCAAAACAAAAAACAAATCTGATTGAGCTTGAGCTGTTAGTTTCTTATTTCTTACTTTTGCTTCAGACTTTATTGTTTTCAAGTTCTTGATCACTTCAATATCGATAATGTATTTCTAAATTATAGCACCTCAAAATCTGTAATTTCAAAATAAAATAAAAATCACAAAAACAATCTTAAAATCCTGATCAGTGTGAATTTTTTTTAATGTTATTTAATTTTAAGAAGCGCTTAACAAAATTCAGCTATGTAATAATATTTTTACAGTTTGTTAAAATACATTCAACTCTTTAAGAACATCCAGAATCTTGATTTGGCACAAAATAAAAATGTCCAAATCTTTTTTTGTTATATCTAAAAAGAATGAAACACTTTAAAATAAAACCCAGAATCTTTTCTTTTACTTTGCAGCTACTTTGTGTCGCTTAACTACTAAATCGGGATAAAATCCGTTAAAGTTTGTGTCCAAAGACGCATTGATTTTTTTTTTTTTTATCCATCAATGCGATTGGTCCCTGGTTTATGTCAGGCAGGACTTTAGATCAGGAAAGACAAAAACACAACAACAAAAAGCTAATCATCAACACGTTTGAGGCGCCATCTGCACCTGCACACCTGCCCACGGGGAAACACAATATCCTGCAGAGATTAGAGGAGTTTAGCGAAGGCGGTTGGCCCAAATCTCAATCGTCCATTCACACAGGTAAAACACCTGTGGAGGGGATCAGCGCCACCGAGCTCGAATCAAACGGCTCTGCCTCTAATCCGGGCCGGTATCGGGTCCGGTTTGTTAACGCAACACGACGGCTGGGTCCCCGAAGGCGCCCATATTTAAAATGGTGGTTGTCTGTCGGATGGCACAGCGGCGGCGCCCCTCTCACCCCGAACCGCCGGCTGACACTCCGTCAAGAACATGTTTATCTTTCTGGTGATTTAACCCTTCACGCTCCGCGCAGCCGCACAGCGGGACGGATGTGACCCGACAGGAGCATCGCCACCTCTCACCGAGTCTGAGCACCAACTGTGGGCGTGGGTCGCTCTCAGTCCCGAGCGGAGCCTTTTGTTCCCCCTCCCCGCTATCCCCGCTCTCCATTCACGTGGTCACCAATTTACGCGCAGGAACCCTTTAATAAAAAAAAACATGTCGGGACGCGTTTCATGATGTCGGAATGTGGCCCAGATAAGAAAATGCGGCAGGCCGTCCTGGGTTGCACACAGGTGTTGCCAGAGCAACGAGTTGCCGAGCCGAGCCGCATCCTGCCCAGGACAATGAGGAGCGGGGTGACAAGGCAGCATCCTCTAAAAAAAAACGTCTCATGCGTGACAGTTTCCGGATCACACCGTGGCTTTTTCATTTCGCAGATAATTGAGAATAAGAAGCGCGAGCTCCGGGTTTGGACGGGACAGCGCGTCACCGGGTGAAAGCCAGACGTTCAAAGCGAGATGTTCACAGTCCATAAAGTGGCGTTGCAGCCCGTGTAGACGCTTGGAGTGCACCCTGGCAGACCCACCGACATGCCGCTGCATCCACGTGCGCGCGCACCACACCGGGCTGCACGAGACATCAGCAAAAATAAACATTTATAATTAAATAATCAATTGTCTCCCTCTCTGAAGCCTGCTGCTGACAGGACTTCAACCTCGCTGGCGCTCATGATGGCCTACCTTTCTCTCTTTTTTTTTTTTTTTTTTTTTTTTGCAATTGCCATCGCCAGGAGGCACCGGCGTTGCTATGGCAGCAAGGGATGAGAGTGGAGAGAGTGCGGGGCTGTTCTGGTTGGGATACGGACAAAGTGGCGATTCATCAGGACCACAAAAGCATCACAAGTTGTCGTTTTTATTCCCCTTTATCGGGTGCGTGGGCGCAGCCCGCATCATGACAACTACTTACAGCGGGACAGTTCGTGACACACGCACACACATATACACACATACACATACACACGCACACACATGCAACGCAAACATGCACACAAAAAAAAATACAGTTTACCGTTGACTTGACCGGGACGTAAAGGACGGGCTTCCCCGGCGCTCCCTTCTTGTTGTGCTCCCCCAGAACGTTGGTTCCGACCTGGAAGCCTTTGGACTTCACCCAAAATTTGAATTTGGCGTTGATGTGGCTGTTGTCCACGTACACCCCGTCCGGCTCGTCGTTCTGCAACAGTGTTTGCATGATTTTGTTGTATTTTCGCCGGGTGACGGTCTTTGTCTTGCCGGAGTCCCCGTAAGTTCGGAGACACCAGTCCTGAAATTCTCGGAACATCTCAGCCTCCAGCACGACCGGACTCCGGCTCCTCTTGGGCGCATCCACGCACGCCTTTTTCGTTGCCATCGCTCCCTCTCTCCTCTCTCTCTTTCTCTCTCTCTCTCTCCGTCTGAGCCCGATCAGGCAGCCCAGGCTAATAAAGAGCTGACTTCTTCTGGCTTTTTTTTTTTTTATCCCCCTCCCTCCCCCCCAACACCCGCGGCTGTCCCGAACCCAGAAGCCTCCCTTCAGGTTCTGGGACGCTTCGTGGTGAAAAGTGACCCGGAGAAGCGGAACACCTGTTTGCAGAGGAGCCGAGCTGTCCCGAACCGCAGCGGTTAAAAAAAAAAATGTCACTTCCTCATATCATCCGCTGAGGAGCAGAGAGAGAAGAGGAGGGGGGGGGGGGCTGTCCTACACGCAGAGCGGGTTTCTCCCACCTGTGCGTAAAAAGGCTCCACACACACAAGGGTGGGCTGTGAAGAAGAAGAGAGAGAGAAAAAAAAGAGACCACAGTCCTCTCGCTAAACAACAAAGAACAGAGACAAAAGCGTGGAAACAACCGTCGCTTTCAGTTCCTATCGACCTACTTTCTAACAGCCAACACTATTTTCGGATGCGGCTCGCTCAGCCCTCAGAAAAGCGCCGAAGATGCTCACGCCGTTGCTCCTGCGGGCTCCAGGCTGCAGCCACGTATCCGACCAACATGCGCCACCTGGGACCGTCTCTGCTCCTCACACCTGTTTGAATGGGATCTGCGCTGCGCTGCGCTGAGCTGCGCTGCTGGCGGATCCCCGTAACACGCAGGGAAGCGCACGCAGACCTCGACTATTGGCTAATTCGCAGGAAAAGGCAGCGTTATGTGGGCGCGGAGGAAAATGTCCGATTTCGAGACAGGGGCAGGTGGGAGAAATCATCCGGTGAAAAACGCTCATTTCTGAAAGTGTGGCAGAAGTCATGGTGACATTCACACCACGGTAACTTTATACACATTTTGACATGTTACAACCTCAAACTTCATGTATTTTCACAGGGTTTTATGTGATCCACCAACTCTGAAAACGACACACAGTTTTAATTTAGCCGCCTTCTGCTGGGCTACATGTCAGCCCTGCACACTTAGAGATAAATTATTTTTCAGTTCTTCCTCTCAGAACAAGTCGAGCTCAGTTAGATGCAGCGGACCTTCCGTCCAGAGGACCAGGACATTTCCTGCTGGCCTGGGTGCAGCTATGTTCACTCTGCAGCCTGAACTGACCCAAATCCAGGTTTTTGTCCTTATGCGTTCTGCACCTGGTCTTTTCATGACAATCTGAAAAACACAGGTAAGATTTATACAGCCCACCTGGACATGTGGTATTAAATCTGATACTTGATTGATCTTTTCAAATGTGACCTGTGTCTGGAGAGGTCAAATTCATCCGACCTGAAAACGTCACTTTTCTGCATCCAGACACACAAAGCAGGAATAAAAACAACGACCAATAACAATGGACAATAACGGCAACAACTGTAAAATCACAAGATGAGCTCCATTGTTAGCATTCAGGTTTACAACCGGCTTCCTGCTTGTGATGGTTTTGCATGTGGGAAACTTTTAGGTTGTTTGCAGTTGGTGTTAGGAGATCACATACAAGTCTCATCTATTTGGAAATCCAGAACAAACAAACAAACAAAACAGGATTTCACAAAAACTCGGACCTGAGCATTATCGGCCTAGTTGAAGCACAATTTACTTTGGTGGTTTGCATTAAGTCTGAAGGGGATGAGATCGTTTATGAACTGGACCAGACCTTAAAGGGTTTCTGGGTCACCATTCCAGGACTCCCAATTGGAGACCGCAAACATTTTTTTGTTTTGTTTTTTGGATGTTTTGCAAACCTTTCACTTCATATAAAAGTCATAAGCCGATATCAAAAGTCATATTCCAGTCTTATGACAAAATCAACTTTTTAAAGCTTGACATCATGTTGTAATCATAAACATACCTGGATTGTTGCCTCAGAAATCCTTAAGTCTCCGTTGACCTCCTTTTCCACACAGATCCTCTAGACTAGCGGCAGCAGCAATGAGCAAAGACCTGGTGGATTTGCACATCTGCTGAGCTCATCGTATGAACTATTTATCAGTCCAACGCTCCTCAGAACTGGTGTAAACAGCTTAGTGGAGACACGTTGAGATGATTGCTCAGGTGGAGTGTCAGAAAGAGTAGGAGGGTTTTAAAGAGACAATTAAAAACTGTCAAAGAGACAATTAAAAACTGTCAAACAGCAAAATCAAATTTCTTTTATGGTATTGATATGCAGCATTTTTATAAAACCTGACAGTAACATAGTTATTTTATTGTGCTATAAAATGGCGCTATGTGCTTGGAAAACACTTTATACTGACCCGTTTATGTTTGGGGATTTTTCTGAATGTAAACAATATTCAAGTATTTTACAGTTATGAAGTTATAGTAGTTTTCTGTGGAAGCAACATGGAGCTGTGTTAAAGAGAGCCATATTAAACCTACCATACATCAGTTCATACGTGCTGATATTTATGTCTGCAAATGTAATGTAATTTGCATTAACAGAACATTTTTTTGTAGTTGATAGGGCACCAACACTGGCTCCAGCCCAGGGCCCCAAATCCTTGTAAATCCGCCCCTGTTTATAGATATTGGTTTTTAAATTGTGCAAGATTCTCAACTAAAATTCATTCTGGACTTTGACTGGGCCATTCAAACACACACACACACACACACACACACACACACACACACACACACACACACACACACACACACACACACACACACACACACACACACACACACACACATATATATCCAAGTCATTCCACTATAAAACTGACTGAATGTCTGAAATCTTAACTAACTGATTTTATTGCCCAACTATCTTTCCATCATCTCTGATTGAGATTCCCTGCTCCTAAAACTGAAGGAAAGCATCCCTTAGCATGAGTCTGCCACCACCATGTCTCGCTTATATTGGATACAATTTTGAAAACCATTTTCATTTTCTGTTTGTTCTTTAATTCTACACATTTGTGTTGGTCTGTCATATAAAATTCCTGTAAATTACCTGATAAACGGTAAAATGTGTGAGATTTAAAATATTTCTATGGGACAGTTGTTATAAATCAGAGTGTTGAGCCTCATGATCAACAATGAGGAGTTTAAACCCTGATTTATGAATAAAAACCAGCATGTCTGAGTCGTGAATTATCACCTGTGGAGCTTGTGTCCCAGTCAGAAAGACGAACCAGAGCAGCGTCGTGTATTTTCTGTTTGTCTCACGTGTTACAGGCTTCGCCAGCCGCTGAGGTGTTTTGGTTTTGCTTCAGTGTGTGCAGATGTTTGAGGAAGAAGCAGCTCACTTAGAATATCTCATTTTGCTCCCTGTGTGTGTGTGTGTGTGTGTGTGTGTGTGTGTGTGTGTGTGTGTGTGTGTGTGTGTGTGTGTGTGTGTGTGTGTGTGTGTGTGTGTGTGTGTGTGTGTGTGTGAGCATCATGGGCCCATGCTGGTGGTGGTGACTGCTGCTGTTTCCATGACAGCAGAGCAGCAGTGTCTCCGGCCGTGCAGAGGGTGAGTGGGATGCCCCATCCTCATCGCTCCATCCTGACTCAGACGGCCGCGCGCTGGGCCAAGAAGCCCCACCTCGACTGGGTGATCAGTCGCTCTCCACGGCGTCAGCTGCAAGAAGCACGGCGCTCCAACCTGTTTTTGTGTCTGTCCGACAGACGGATTACACGCGGAAGGGAGCGGAGTGAAGAACGAAGGCCTTTCCATGCTATTTCATTTGATTTCATCATTTGGTTCCATGTTGTCTCTTCATTCAGGACTGGCCTGCGTACAAGCTGAACTACAGACCCCCCAAGCTGCACTGCTGCTCCTGCTTTAATCTCAAAAGAGTAGCTTCAAGACCCAAATATTCAAGATTTCCTGCTTCACATGCAAAAACACTAAAAACACAAAATCTTACATAGTATTTTTGGCCTAGATTGTAGTTCAAATATCTGGTTATGCTTGAAATAAAACCAAACTAACTTACAAGTAACTTTTCAGTGAGATGGAGCAGCTTGTTTCAAAGCAGCAGCATTTTGAAAAATCAACTTTTTTCAGCTTTGTATCATGTTATGATGTCATTCCCTCATCACAAACATACCTGGAGTGTTGCCTTGATTTTTTCATGCATGTTTGAGAAATCCTTTAATCTCCATGACGACCATTCAACTGGGCAAAACAACTGGGTGGACCTAGCTCCGCCTTCGAGGCGCAGCTCCTCCTCAGAGCTGCAGTTTCTAAGTTTCTAAGCCTTCTCCACACAGAAATCCTTCAGACTAGCCAGCAGCAATTAGCAAATACTTGTGGAGCTCACTATTTGAGCTACTTCTTAGTGTAATGCTAGAAAAACATGCAGTGTTGTGATGGAGTTTCAGAAAGAGCAGGAAGGTTTAAAGAGACAGAGGCCCAATTTCAAGGCGTTAAATTATGAAGTAAAATATTTTTAAAGTCACAATTTAGAATTTTTATAATAACTGAATGTAACATAGTTACTTGATCATGCTATAAAATAGCACTATGTGCCTAGAAGCGCATACTAATGGCCCCTTAGTTCAATAACTTCTTAATATTGATGAAAGAGTGGTTATAAGTGCACTAATCTCTCAATGAAACAACACATTTTCAATATTCAAAGTTTTTGCATGTGAAGCAAAATTTTAGCAGAAGAATCCTGAACATCTGGGTTATAATAATGAAAAATGTGTTTCTCCAAAAGCAGATTATTTCACTTATAACTAGTACTTACATAACATTGTCGATAAATTGTTGACTTAAAGGAAGTTCCTGTACCTTGCTGATAAGTTATCTGTATGTTGGTTGGTTGTCTTATTTTAAGTGTACTAAGACATCAAACTAAGAAACTAGACCAAAATGCTTGGTAAGATTTTATGTTTTGCAGTGCAGGACACAGATTCTGCTTCTCAAAGGACTACTTCCCCAAAAAGTGTTGCAAGAACTTCCTTGTCGCAACTTTTTGAGGAATTTTGAGGTCAAGACATCTGTGAATTTCGTAATACAGAGTCCGCAACTGTAAAGCTTAAAAACACAACTTTGTTTTTTGCAAAGCGAGGCCATTTGAGTGAGATTTGAAATATTGCAAGGTAGTTAT